TACGGTTGACACTCAGATTCAAATAGATGTTGAGAGCTAGGTATGTGTATATGACCCTCAAAAACAATCGTTTTTAATGGTAAAGATACCAACCTAACTATTTACGGCATTAAAAGTCCCCAAATTGAAACTTCGATTTTGGGGGTTTTGACCACGTTTTTGGCAATTGGGACCACTGTGCGCCGTCGAGTACAGATCGTTCGGAATAACGTTGTATTAAATATAGTTAATAAAGTAGTGTCTATCTATATGGTCGAATTGGAGCCTTCACATCTCTCGAACCTAACACATGCAAACAAATCACGTGCAAGTGTAACGAAGAAGAGTGTGATATGATATGATATGATAAAATTGTTGGAGACATGGAGCAAATCGAACGTGATCTATTGGAGCAATCCTGTCGAGTCGCCACCTTGGGTGAATATTTCGCGTGGGTGCAGCGATGCGACGAGTGCTTGTAACGACTCGAAGAGCACGGTCGAGTCAAGCGTCCGCGGCTCTCGATCGGACACAAGCAATCTGTGGCGGCGAGCATCGCGCGACTCGTAGGCGCAAAGACTTTATTGGAGAGACGCTTTATACACATCGGTGGTAATTATGCGGGTGGTGGCGCGGAGAGACTCGTTTGGCGAGAAATCGATACCGCGTCTGAAAATCGTATTTTGACCGGTGTAGTGATTAACACAGATTATATCGAGCCGCGACAATTTTTGGGAGACGCTTGCGATATAGTGCTCGAGCGAGTGCAAGACGTTTTACAAATACGCAACATCGTAAAAGTGAACACTGCCTTCAACGGTGAATTTGTGACATGTGAAAAACGTGCGGACAAAAGTATCAACACGCGAAACTGTGAACTCTTTCGTACGACAGATTTGCGCGAGTGGTACGAGCAGCGCGTCATCGAGCCTACCTTAGCGTCCCTTGAAGAGTTTCAGGAACGCGATAGTGGGTAGGCGTTATCGCGCACACAATTTGACAATTAATATAAACAAGTACAATCCACTGCACGCGAGGTGTTACGTCGAATTACCGCGAGAAATACTCCATGATCAAAAAATTCCCGGAATTTATTCATAAAATTGAAAATACAAAATTATTATTGCAAATCGATATTGTCCCCCTCAAAGTACTCCCCCCCCCCCCCCAACTGCAACGCACATATGCCAACGCTTGATCCAATCGTCGAACTCCTTTTTATACTCGGCTTTTGGTATGTCGAAAAGGGCCTTCGTCGATTTTTGGATTATCTCCTCTCTACTGCTAAAACGCGTTCCTCGATCGGAGCGGATTTTTGACTTTATTGAACAGGAAGAAGTCACACGGTGCCGAATTAGGCAGCTGCTGGATTAGTACTGTGTTTGGCCAAAAAGTTACGAATAACCCATGCATTGTGGGACGGCGCGTTATCATGATGCAAAATCCAGGAGTTGTTCCTCCACATTTCCGACCGTTTCCGTCGAATTGCGTCACGCAAACGCCTCATAACGCCCAAATAGTACTCCTTGTTGACAGTCTCACCCTCCGGCAAGAATTCGTGATGCACAACACCATTGTAATCGATGAAAACCGTGAGCATTGCCTTCTTTTTGACTGGAAACGGCGTGTTTTTTTCGGTTTCGGTATGCCACTCGTACACATAGTTCTCTCCATAGAATCATTGCCGTAACAGTTCTTCAACATTTTCAGTGTTTTTACACCGTTGAATCCGTTCTTGACGCAAAATTTAATGCAAATTCATTTTTTAAAAAGTGAAAAATCGACGAGCGCGAAAAAGTTGGTGTACTCAAAATGATGCTACTTTCACAAATGTGAAGCTATGATGATGAAATTTGGCAGGAATGACAGTGACATTTGTGTCTCAACACTCACATAAAATGGTTTTTGAATCGGGTGACCAGGGGCGCCACATGGTGGCAATTCCGGGAACTTTTTGATCATGGTAGTAAAACTGAAGAAAGCGGTAATTAACGTGTAATCTAAGGACAATACAAGTTTCGCGTGGTCAGTGGTGGCTGCTCTGCATCCAACTGAAAAACACGCAGAACGAGAATCGTCCTATCCCGATTATACACTCAGATGCAAAAAAAGCGGTACACTAAAAATTTGGGAAAAATTTACCAAATTTCACGTGATCATAATTTAGTAAATAATGAAGATAAAAATAAATTTAAAAATGGAAAATGAAGCTCCAAATGTCCTCTTTAAGAATATTTGAATGGCAATTATGCTCGGCTATTTTTTTCAAAATGGCGAATGATAAAGTGAGAGGATGCAAAATTGAGAATTGAACATCCGAGTTTGTGACGGTCCATGACGTGAATCAGGTATCACAGCGTAATGTAACGAAGTGTACATGAAAGTATAGAGTGTTAGCTTTAAAATGCTTGTTTACCGAGCACGATACGATCATTTTTCGCGGAGTTACGCACATTTAAAGAAAAAAGCGCTTTATTCTTTAAATGTGCATAACTCCGCGAAAAATGATCGTATCGAGCTCGGTAAACAAGCATTTTAAAGCTAACAGTCTATACTTCCATAGGCTCTTCGTCACATTAGGCTGCGATACCTAATGTACGCTATGCGCTGTCGTAAACTCGAAGCTTTATTTATCAACTTTGCATGCTCTCCTTTAGTCATCCGCCATTTTGAAACAATCGTCGCGTACAATTTCGATTTTAATTTCGAAAAGTAGGATTTCACAGCTTTCAAACCGTTTTTGAAATTTTGTACTGGGGTATTTAGGTGCCGAGATATTCAATTCCGAATTTGCAACAAGGTCAATTCATTGTCTTTCAAATTATGGTCGTAATTCTCTCCAATATGAATGGCATGAAATTTTACTGATCGGAATGGCATCTCGCACGTGCGTGTGTGCGTGTGTGTATGTGTGTGTGTGTGTGTGTGTGTGTGTGTGCGTTTGCATACCGCAAGGATAAGGACCCCCTGGTTCGTCAGTTTCACAGTATTTTAAGACTCCACACCCTCCTTGTGGTGTGTGTGCGCGTGTGTGCGCGCGCGTGCGTTTGCATACCACAAGGATAAGGACTCCGTGGTTCGTCAGTTCCACAGTATTTTAAGGCTCCACACCCTCCTGGTAGTTTGTGTGTGTGTGTGTATGTGTGTGTGCGCGCGCGCGTTTGCATACCACAAGGATAAGGACCCCGTGGTTCGTCAGTTCCAC